CCAAGGCGGTGCAGAGGGAGGTGAGAGCGGAACGTCAGAGCTTTCCTCCCACACGTTGGCTGGCGCCATCTCTAGGTGCTCTCAGCTTCAAACTGCAGCCCTCCACCCCCTAGACACACAACAGTTCTGGGCCCTCTTCACAGGTGGCTCACATTTTATTATTGTTGTTGTTGGTTCTCGGAATCTATATTTTCCTTCTGCTTCTACAATTTTTCTCAGGGTTAATTTTGGTGGAAGGAGAGAAAAATAGTCAACCATCTTGGCAGAAAACAAAACTTTATACTTCATAGTACTTGATACAATCTTTACAAATGCATGTGTCACGTCTGTTAGATGAAATAGTGGTTAAAAACAAGGACTCTGAAGTAAGACTGAGTTTTTAATTTTACTTTTTAAAAAATGCTAAGTAAACGCCATGGAGATATAATTTACATCAAATAAAATTTATGAATTTTAAGGGTATTGTATGGTGACTTTGACCAATATATACACCCATGTAACTACTACCAGATCTATATATTGAATATTTTCTATTCCTTGTGCCGCTTCCTAGTCAACATCCACCCTGCTCCCTGGCCCCAGGCAAACACTGACCTGCTTTCTTACACAGTATATATTTGTGTTTTTTTCTAAAGTTTCATATAAATGGAATCATATTGCATATCCTCTTTTATGTCTGGCTTCTTTTGCTCAGCATGAGCTTTTGGAAATTCATCCATGTTGTTCTATCAGTAATATATGGCTTTTAGTTGCTGACTAGTATTATATAGTATATATTCATACATATATTCATATAGTATTCTACTGTATGAATACACCACAATTTTTTCATCCATGTTTCTATTGATGGGCATTTGGGTTATTTCCTGTTTTTGGCTATTCTGAATCCCCAGTCTGCCACTTTTTAGCTCTATCACCTCAGGCAATTTACTTAACCTATTTTTTGTTTCAGTTTCCCCATGTAAGATGGGATAATAATAGTATCCAGCTTATAAAGTTATTGTGATGATGAAATGAGTTAATATATGTAAATTGCTTAGTCGGGCATATAGCAAGCATTCAATAAATGCTATTATTAAAATCTCATGTTGTACTTTTGTCTTCCCACTTGAGTTTGAGATCTTTCAAAGCAAGAAGTAAGTTTTACTTTTCTTTATAACCCCAAATCCTAGGACAGTGCCTAACATTCATTCCTTTATTCACGTCTTCATTCATTCCTCTATTCAGTAAGTTTTATCGGAGACTTACTAGGGATCACACTTCATGCTGGTGGCTGAGGCTATAATCTGTCACAGGTAGAGCTTCAAGCCTCAGGCAAGGGACAAACAAACCAGGGAGCTACAATAGAGCGCGTTAGGGGGAACCCAGGGGCTGTGCGTGCCGCCTAACCTGGACCCGGGCAGGAGCAGGGAGGAAAGTGACGCTTCAACAAATACATACAGGAGGGGTGAGAATTACCTAGTTTGAGGGCTAGGGGGAGAGATGGAAGAGTGTGAAGGGTATAGGAACAGTCTGTACAAAGGCTCAGAGGCAAGAAAGAGTGTGCATATAAAAGATATAGCATAAAGGTTTGACAATAGAATGAATAATAAAGCTATTGCAATAAGCCAGGAAAGAGATATCAAAAACCGTGGTATAGGAATGGATGTAGGGCTTTAGCAGAGGAGAGACACTGATGAGGTGGAAACTCCTGAATAACTCATTGAAGGCGAGAAAGAGAGCAAGGTCCGAGTGCAGCTAAGGTTCTAAGCCCCAGGTGATCGGGAAGATGAAATTGTCATTAAAAATCAGATCTTAGGAGGGAAGCAGTTTTTTGTGTGGTAGTGATGGAACAAACACCTTTCTGGAATTAGTGAACTTGAGGCGTTGGTGAGTTCCCTACATTGAGGCACTCAGGGGAACTTATGGGAGATGTCAGAGATAGAGGAAGAAACTTGAGTGAAGAGAAGCGAGGGCAGCCGCCTCAGTGAACACTTGGTGGGGGACCTTCAGGTGGAGCTCGCCCTGGCCACGCATGTCCCAGGAAAGGATGGGGCAGCCGGCTCCTAGGCATCTGTTTGTACAAGGCGATATTTGCATTTGGGAAAGGAGCTGCTTGTAGGCAGAGGAGAAGAGGGAAAGCAGACCTTGTTCTAGGTCTGCCAAGGCCCCTGGTCCAGCCTCAGTGGTTCATGTCTAAGACCTGTGGGAAGAGGGCCAAAAAAACTAGTTTTTAGAAACTGGTTTATGAGGCTCCGTTACAAATAGCATAGTTTGTAGTTCTGGGAGATGAAGAGTGATAGAATGAAAACAGGGGCCTTTTTAAAAAAAAAATTTTTTTGATGTTAAAATAATTTTAGATTTATAGAAGACTTGCAAAAATAGTACGAAGAGTTCCCATATATTTAGGAGTCCACCTCCTAGGTAAAAAAACGTATGCGTGATTTTTTAGGCCCAATCATGGGCAGTTACCACCAAGGCTTTCTGCGGTTGGCCTCACAGGGGAACACTGCCCCTGCCGGACTGCACGCACAGCCAGCACTTTGCAGTCTCTGAAGGGAGTTTCAGGCAAGGTCTCAGGCTCCCTGGCCCGTCCTGGTCTTGATCTTTCACACGCTCATGTTCCCAGCCCAGGCACCCTCCTTCCTAGATCTCTTTCTCTGAGGCTTTGGCTGAGGTCTTCCTCAGGTTCCTCTGCTAAATGCCCTTTATTGAGGGGAGGAGGGGAAACCTGAAGACACTTTTCCCTGTTCTCAGTGCCCAGTACTTTTTTACTTCTAACTTTCCTCACCCTCCCCCAACCCCAGCGTCCATAAAACTGCCTGGGCCTCTTCTTCAGGGCTCCGGCAGCAGTGAGGTGACCTCCACATCTGTGCTGGTTCACCTGACATTCAACTGGTGGCCCGTCCATGGAGGATCTAGGGGGCGTGGGCATCTTCTCCTCTTATACCATCACAGGAAGTGATTAAAGGCTTAAGTCTTTCTTTTCTGACTTGTTGCTTTAGTTGGCTACTCCGACACCTGACACCTGACAGCTCAGCTCTCTCTCCCAGCTCAGTTGAGCTCCTGACGATACCCTTCACCCAGCTTCCCAAGATGCAGTCTTGGCTTCATGAGGATGCAACCTATGCCGTCTCACTGGGCTCCATGCTCAGAAGGACCCCATCTTTGGTTTTATTCTCTGCTGTTGCCATCCTGAAATCTTAATAATTTTGAATAAGTGGCCCTACGTTTTCATTTTACACTGGGCCCTTGGAATTATGTAGACAGTCCTGCCTTTATGTTAACATCTTACATAACCATGGTACATTTATTGAAACTGAGAAATTTACTGAGAAATTAACAAAACTACTAACTAAACTCGAGATTTTATTTGGATTTTACCAGTTTTCCTACTAACGTCCTTTTTCTGTTCTAGAATCTGGTTCAGGATACCGTATTATATTTAGTTGTCATGTCTCCTCATCTCCTCTAACCTGTGACATTTGTTTGGTCTTTGTCTTTGACCTTGAAACTTTTGAAGAGTCCTGGCCAGTTATTTTGTAGAATGTTCCTCAATTTGGTTTGCCCGTTGTTTTCTCTTGATTAGACGGACTGAGGTTACGGATTCTTGGGTAGAAAACCACAGAGGTGAAGTGCGCTCATCACGGCACTTCAGGAGGAACATGACCTCCACGTGACTTGCCTCTGGTTTAGTCTCGACCTCTCGGTGAGGGTGGTGTCTGCCAGGTTTCCCCACTATGAAGTTACCGCATTTCCATTTCCACACTCCCTTTGTTAGAAGTGAGTTAGTAAATCCAGCCCACACTCAGAAGGAGGGGAATTAAGCCCCATCTCCTAGAGGGAGGAATAGCAAACAATTTGTAAACAAATGTTAAAATCACCCCAGTAAGAAATAAATATTTGGAGGAGACACTTTGAGGCTATGCAAATATCCTGTTTTTCCTTAATGCTTTGCTCACTAATTTTAGCATTTATCCGTGGATCTTGCCTGCAGCAATTATTACCACAGTGGTGGTGGTGTTCTAATGGTGGTCTTTAGTTTCAAGAGAGACCTCTAAAAATTGTGGTGCTAATCTCACTTGTGTTTTGACTTGTTCTATTTACCAAACTAGTAAAGCTTTGAGGGCTACCCTTTGCACTCTGCCTGCATCCTTTAGGTTCTTAGTGAAACTTTCCTCAGTTGAGCTGAACTGAACTGCTTTTATCAGACGATGCTTAAAGAAAGCATCAGGCATGACGGCTGGGCCATGGTTCACACAGTGTGGTTTTTGGACCAGCAGCATAAGCATCACCTGGGAACTTGTTGGAAATGCAAATTATGAAGCTGCATTCCAGACCTGTTGAATCAGAAGCTCTGGCGGGAGCAGGGCGGCAGCCACCTGTGTTTTAACAAGTTCTCCAGGTAATTCCAATGCCCACTAAAGTCTGGAAGCCGCTGATGTAGGGGATCTTTAATAAGTAACTTCACGTCTGTTCTAATTCTTTATAGGAACACATGTCCTATTGAATCCATTATCTTTCCTGTATTCCCAAACGGCTGTTCTACGGACAAATGAACGAACCGCTGATTGTTTAATCAATTTAATCAACGTGCATTGAGTGTCTCATCTACGCCAGGCACTGTGCTCTGTCCTCAAGGCATTACCATCCTGAGCTTGATAAGTTCATGGTCTAGTACATGAAACAGGTGTGGAAACATATGATTGAACAACATGTTCAGTCTCAAATAGTTATTTGGGCAGAATTCTGTAGAAAATATCATCATAATGCCTATCACTTTTTAAGAATCTACCATATGCCAGCTAGTTTTATGTATGGTATATTAATTAATCTCTACAAAATCTAGCGAGGAAGACACCAATCATATTTTATGGATGGTAAAATTGAGCTTGTGAGAGATGAAGCGATTTTCTTAAATTACCTAGGTTGGAAGTGCCAGAAATGAAACTTAACCCTGGTCCCACTGACCGCAGGAGTTCTCTTCTCATTGCCAGTCTGCTCCTGCCTGCGGAGTGACTAATTCTGTTCAGGGCGGAGGAAGTGGGTGTGAACTTTATGAGAAGGAAGTAAGATAAATGGGAGTTTTTCAGACGGAAAAAGTGAATGGGGAACTCCAGACGGAGGGAACCCCTGGAGAAAAAGGCAGAGTCATGAAAATATAGAGGCTGCTGATCCCAGGTAGGCGATCTCCGTAAAGCTAGAACAAGAGCTCACGGATGGTGAGGGAAGGAGGGGCCAGAAAGGAGCTGAAGAGATGAGCTGGGTCAGGTGAGAAGGGCAGCTCTGATGCTCTGGCATTTGCTGGTTTCAGAGAGCAAGTTCGCTGTCGACTGACTATCTATGGGACCTAGAGCAAAATTTACAGCTGAGTTTCCCAAAGGGAAGTGGTCTAGAAGTAGAAGTGTGGTTAATAACACAGGCTTTGAAGCTCATAGATACGGAGAACAGATTGCTGGTTGCCAGAGGTGGGGGTGGGGAAATGGGTGAGGGGAGTCAAAGGTACAAACTTCCAGTTATAATATAAATAAGTCCTGGGGTTAGAATGTACAGCATGGGGACTATAGTTAATCATACTGTGTTGCATATTTGAGCGTTGCTAAGAGAGTATTAGCTAGACTTATTGTGGTCATCATTTTGCAATGTATACAAATATTGAATCATTGCTTTGTAACCTAAAACTAATGCAATGTTTTATGTCAATTATACCGCAATAAAAAAACACAACACAGGCTTTGGCATTATGCGGACTGGGGCTCAGATGCCAGCTCTTCCACCTACCGTGCAATTTTGAACTTGTTGCTCTCTGTTAGCCTCGCTTTCCTCATTTGTAAACACAGATGATAATAATCCCAGCACTGACTGAGTACTTACCATGTGTCAGGTGCTTTCCTAAGTACTGACATGAGCTTGCTCATACACTTGTCATGACAACTTTATGGAATTAGCAATATTATTGTTCCTATTTAACAGAGAAGAAACTGAGACATGGGGAGGATAAGATCGTAGAGTTATTAAGCAGAGTGGATGGGACTCCCATGCAGGCTGCCTGTCTCCAGAGCCCACCTCTTACCTGCCTGACCCTCTGGGATTTCTGTGAAGTCTCAGTCAGACCCTGCATGACAAGCGCTCCGCACAGTATCACGCCCACGGTGAGCCTTCGTGAATGGTAATGGTGAGTAGTGGTAACTTGCAGGAGTTCCATGTGGATCTGTGGGAGGTGGGGAGCCCTGCTTTGGAGTAGCAGACTTTCTGCCATCTCTGGCTCTCTGCTGGGGTTTCCTGCATGCTTTAGGGCTGTGATTATCTCTTGTCACTCCTGTTCAAAGGGCCCTCAGAGGGCCCTACCTCCCTAAGATGGGCCAGCTCTAGATGGACCTGCAGTGTGAAATCAAATCTGAGGACTTATGAAGAAAAGGCAGCACCGTGAAATGATCAAGAGTTAGGAGGTCCTGGATATAGGCCTAACTGCGTCCCTCAGCCTGTGTGACGCTGGGCAAAGGTCTTCTGTTACTGGGATCTCAGCTTCCCCATTTGTGAGAGGAGGAGGTTGGATTCTATTATTTCCGAGCTTCCTCTCACCTCTAGGGGGAAGGAAGGTATCCGAGAACACAGTAGAGTCTCAGGCACGTTGTTCTGAGCACGGCCGTCCCTCTCACTGGGGCATTGGTTCCCCAGGGATTTGGGCAGGTCTTCCTTCCTGGACGATGGGCCAGCATCACTTATACTTAATGAATCCTTAGTGAAGATTCCCGACAAGTCTAAGCCTCTAATTCATCGGGCCTACAAGTAACCATACGAAAGTAAAGAAAGCCATGCCTCATTACTTTGGACTCAGAAAGTTCAGAATCCAAGGGAACTTATACCATAACAGTGCTGCTTGTGCATTTAGATTGTTTCTGAAGACTGACCGAGCATACGAAGAAAGTGGAAAGAATTAAGAACCATGTGAACCACCTTAAGGTGATCCAATCCCATGATTTTCGAAACTATTTTTCTCTTTTAAATAAAATACTAGAAACCATTTCAAATCCTTGTTTGAAACAAAATAAGGAAATAATGAAATCAAATCCATGAACTTATTAAACATGCTTTTTATTCATTGAAGCAGATTTTAAAAGGATCCATGCCTAGCAAGGCTTAATTATTATCCTAGTTTGGAGTCCTTCTAAATTCTTAGAAGAAATAATGGTATATTATCCTCGTGGTCTGTATAGTTGCAGTATGCAGGATCCAGTCTTATATAATTGCAGTTTTGCTTGAAGTGGCAGGCCCTGATATTAGGGCAATTAACGAAATCTGGAAGGCGCAAGGCTCTGGCGTCTCTACAACAGCCTTAGACTTCTGGAAGGTCTCATAATGGCCATGCTGTTTCCCAAGTCCTCATCACTCTCACAGACGGGAAGGCCCCGCCACCCCTCAGGAGGTAGGTGGTGGTGGGAGCCATTTTCACCCCGTTTATCTCTTCGATACCAGCACTTTCTGTGTGTTTCTGACAGCAATGGATGTCATGCTGGGTAATCCCCTTCCCGTTGTGAAGGGACCTAAGCAATTACCAGTGATGTATTCATGAAAAATCCAAGGGGAAAAGATAGTTAATGACACCTTTTATCAGATCTACCAATACACGCATGAGAAAACATACTTTGGGAAAAATAGAGATTTATTTTCTTTCTACAGGTAAAGTTGGGTTATGTTTTTGAATGTGTATGTGAATGTATATGTTTTAAAAGTTCTATCAGTATTGATATTAATGAACTAATGTCACTTTAAGGGTAACCTTCATCTTGTCACAGAATCATGGGAAAATTTAAAAAATTGGCTTTCCAACTTCTCTTACGCTTCACCCTTGCGGTACTGCCATCACTTCTCCTCATGGCAACCAGAGAGGTCTTTTGAAACATAACACATCCTGTCCTAACCTTCCTTGAAAACCTCCCCATGACATCCTACTGCACGTAGGATAAAATCTGAACTTGAGCCTCATCATGGTCTTCAAGGCCCTGCCTGATCTGGTCCCCTGCCGACTCTCCAACCTGCTCTCGAGCCTGCGTCATCTGTGCTCCAGCTTACTGCCCTTCACCTGGTCTTTAAGGATGCTGAGCCCTTGCACCTGCTGGTCCTTCTGCCTGTACCCACACCCTCCTTTCTGAAGCAGGAACAGCCCACCCAGTCACCCTGCTTTACTTTTCCTTGTTTGATGGTCTTCAGAGCATTTATCATCTTCTGAAATTGTTTTGTTTGTTTAGTGTCTGCTTTCCCCTCGGTGTAAGCTTCATGAGAGAGAAATCTCATCTCTCTTATCCACCACTGCACACCCAGCACCAGGCAGAGTATCTGGACACTAATAGGTACTCCATATGTGTTTTTGAATGGCTGATTGATGGAATTAATGAACAGAAAACTCCGCTGCCATCACCACCTGCTGTGCTTTTCCTGGTGTAGGTTTTCTCTCTCTCTTTCTTTTTTGGACTCTAATTAAACTTTGGAGGAAGCAACAGTTGGTTGACCAAGTAAGAGTGAGTGCTATGTGGGTCATGGAAATCTGGCTCAGAGGCTGGCTAGACTGGATGAATAGGGTTAGGACAGGTATTTAGGACTCAAGGGGCTGTGACACAAAAGAGGATTCCTCATCCTCAAGTTTGAGACTTGACGGTCAAGGAGTTCGCTGAAAGAAATAGTTGCTGGACAGTCAAGAGTTGTACGTGTGTGCTTTCCAAACTGAACGAGCGATGCCGTGAACACAGGGGCCTCTGAGAGTTTCCTTTAGCAGAAAATCTCAGTAATTAAATTTCTGAAATATCGCCTGCCTCTGTTCTGACACTTCTGTTTCCATTGTGCTGCCCTAGTTAAGGTTCTCTTTGTCCCTCTTCTGAAGGAGATCCTGAAGGATCTTTCTTAAAAGCGAATGCAACCATGAAAATCCCCTGCTCGCCCCTCATTGGAGAACATGGGGATCCTAGCCTAGGGCTGTGGGGATGGCACATCGGTTACCATCAGAGGGAGGTGAAAAGAGTGTTTGCTGCCCTGTTAATCAATTGTTGACCTTCGTGGCCATTGTCCTTGTAGCTATTGACCCTCTTTATGCCTAGTTGCCAAAGATAACTCACTTGTACCTCTACCTCCCCCACCCAAAGTCCTCGATTTACCAATTCTCACCAATCAGAACAGAGTAGCAGAGAGGAAAGTCTCTTCATTATTCAATCTAGAAACTAAAGACCTTTCCAGATAAAGGATAACAGACGGTCTGAGGCCAGTCTAATCCAAAGATTCTTAGGAAACGTTACCGGCCTCATGATGCCTGTAGAAATCATGATACAAGAACTCAATGCCGTATCTTACTCCAGGAAGTAACTTTAGAATAAAACGCTTATATAAGATGCCTTCATAACATCTCATGGAGGCATTATAAGCAGAGACAAGCAAAGCAAGGCTAAAAATGTGATATTTATCTTTAACCTGAAGATTTTTCTTTAATGAGGTCTTATTGATAATTTTTATTTTTAAGTAATAATTTCTATTTTTTATTAATAAAAATAATTCTGATTTTCTTTTTGTGAGCTCTTTGAATTTTGTGAAATATAGTACTTATACATGAGCACATAAATATCTTCCAGATAAATCCAGGACCAAGGGTATCTCTTGTATCTATGGATGACCTTCCCCATCTAAGCATCAGAAGATGAGAGTATAACTCAAATTACACAAACATGTCTGTAGAAAGGCATTACAATACTGGTGACCAAGGGAACACATTTTCCAAGATACTAATATGTCACAAAAAATGTTTAGTGCACAATTAAGTTACATTTACTGTAATAGAAGACCCATGAAAAGAGACGCTTTATCTGTCTTATTTATTGCTGCATTTCCAGCATCAAAACAGAGCCTAGCACACAGTAGGCACCACAAATATTTATTTTTGAATTAAATGTTGTGTTTACCTTAAACAGCTTTCTTTTCTGTGTGACTTCATAGAGTCTTATGCTCATGGACATAGCACAGCTCCTGGAAGAGGCCCTGGCCAGCCTTATTTCTCAAACTTATGTGGCCATGGGTCACCCCAGGATAGATCTGTTAACATCTTCTGGAGCAGTGTTTCATAAAAGACAATTGGGGAAGTGCTGAATTAAATTAAAGGAACAGCAAAAAATTTCTAAGGCAAAAGGGAGTGCAGGTGGTGTATTTGACTTGAAAAAGTGAAATCTACCATTTAAGTTCTGTTACAACCTTTTGCTGACCTATATTTTTTGATCCTTGAAAGCAGGAAGAATGGAGAAGAGGATGGAGGAGAGAAAAAGAGACAAAGAGAGAGAGCCACGTCATATGGAAAAAGTCTCAGTCTTTTGGGCTTCAGAAAAATTCAGACTGCTCTGGGCCTGGCTAACAGATGCATTGACCACGAGAGGCTTCTGTGGAACCAAGTTGTAGCAGTTGTCCACAGAGTGGCCTTATCTTGTCTTGTCTTATCTTAAAGGCTTGCTTGAAGGAGCCGCTCAATTGGCTCTGACCAGGACAGGGAACATGATGATCGAGTCTTTCCTCTCTTTTTCCGGATGTGTCCATCCACCCCTCTTTCGTACTCTGGGACACACATTAATGGATCATCTGGGTTCATTACCACAGGCGAAGTTAGGCACAGAGGGCAAGTGGATAAGACTGCAGATTTTGGAGACAAGCTGTTGGGTTGATAGTAGCCTGAGTGGTCTTGGACCTGTTGCTTAACTTCTCTATGTTTCAGTTTCCTCCTCTAAAAGATGGGGATGACAATAATATTTATTTTGTAAGACCATGAGGGTCAAACAAGATGAAATACATGCACTTATTACAGCAAGTAGCTATAATTATTAGTATCATTGGTAATCGTAACAAAGATGATATTTCTGGGAGCTCAGTTAACTCATAACTTATATTTGAATTTTAAAATATGTATATTTCTGAGAACTCTACATGCAGTATTTTGTAAGAAGACTCAAATTCTTTCTTTTAATGTGAAGCATGTATTACAACATCTACTTGCGTCAGGGAAGTTGATACTCGGTTTTGAAGGTGGATGTGCTGTGGGAAGAGAGGATCTCTTGCAAATGGGAACTTTCTCACTCACCTCCTATCATTAGTCCCTCTTGCTAAAGAAAATAAAATGAACAATGCTTAATTGGGAGAAAAGAAGGGAAACTGGATTTAGACTTGCCCTCAAGCTAGTTATCAATATCCCATCTCAATTTCATTTTTCTACCCACTTTAATCTTGCTTGATAGTCTTGCCCAAAGTCTATAACTCCAGTTCTCTAGTCTCTGCTCCACTGTGTGCAGACATGCAGCACAGCAGGAAAGAATAAGCCCTCTCCACACAGCATTCTTCAAAGCAGGATGGGCAAAGGTGTGTCTCACCTGATACGTACGCTCTTGGCCCCTACGTCATACCACACTTGTCAACCAGCCTCACTCTGTCCTAAGGGCTCAGCCCACCCACCTGGGAGAAGTCTTTCAACCTGAGACTCTATAAAGAAAATAAAAACATTGATAGCTGATCATGAACAAGGGTCAAATTACATTTAATTTACAGAGCAGACAGTTCAGGCCCAATTTTGTACTTATCCTGCAAGTACTGTAGCCCCAAGTACCTAGGACAGTGCCTGGTACAGAGTAGGCACTCAACAAACACTTTTTGAGTGAAGAAATATTGAATCTAAAATTTGCTACCATTTTTAAAGTATTAAGAGGAAACCAAACAAATAAACAAAAGAATGGTCCTAAGCCCTCTGCCCAGAAAACTCCTACTGTCCCCATATGTGTAGCTTATGAATAATCTGAAAAATGTCAAACTTAACAGAAATGATTGAAGGAAAGTGCTGCCATTTCCCCCTTTGGCCCTCATCTCATCTCCCCAAAATTAATCACTGAAAACAGTTCATTCAGTGATTCTTTCCCCAAAGCAAGGATTCATTAAGAGCACATGTGAAGACACAGGGCCACACATTTACATAACAGACTGCAAACACATGAGAGCAGAGGTTGGCAAGGTGAGGTCTCCTGACGACCAGCACGGAGCCCAGCTGCCTCAGAGACACCTGCTTGGCTTGTTAACAATACAGATTCCAGCAGACATTCCGATTTGGTTGGTCTGGGCAGGCCCAGGAATTTGCATTTCATCAAGCATCTCCAGTGAGTGTGTTATCTAACTCTGAAGTTGAAGGATTATTACTCCTTAAGGATCTACTGAACTTTAAGGGGGTTCAGATTTTACCACCAATCCCCTCCCTATCATGGGATCGGCGGAACCCTTAGCCAATTGTGAGTAAAGCCACATAGCTCTGGTCTGTCGTCATGGGCACCCTCTAACCCCATCAATCTGCTTCCCTCTTACCCAGTCCTTCTCAGCGCCCCTTCCGGTTCCATGTCTTCTATCCAATTGGTGGGCTTTGTTGCTCCCTTGTAGCCGACACGGCTATGACCTGCAGATAATTCTCAGTCTTTCTGCCCTCAGCTCCTCAGTTTATGTCTAGTTTAAGTTTCCCGCTGTAGCTATGGATATCCCTATTATGGCTTGTTCTCCTTCATGGATCCATGCAGTGTTAGAATCTCAAGTCTATTTGTTCATCTTTAGGGATCTCCTTCTGAAAAGTGTCTGCTTATTATTATCGTGGGAATCTCTCTGTCGTTCCCTCTCTTCCTCTCACTCTTATCAGCTGGATTCAAACCCAAGTCTGGGCTGGGGTCTCTCTCTTCCATGCTCTGCACTGTGCTAGTGGGGCTTTTATAAGTTTTCCTGGATTTTTATGCAGAAGAAGACAACCTTTAGGTTTAATGATATCTGAAAAATTCTCTCCTATTGTGTAGATACCGTGGGCTCCAAGTGTGGCACCATTAAGTATGGTCACAAGAGCTGGAGCCCCGGCTTTTTCCCCTCTGTTGAAACTCATCGAGGGCAGTCTCTGCTTGGGCTGCCTAGACATCAGGTAGCGAGCAGGGAGGAAGGTGAAGGAGCCGACTCTGCCAGCTCAGACTTAGAACACATCTGACTTCTATGTACGAACTATCCACATAAAAGGGCATGTGTCTTGGCCAGGGAGCATGTCCACCACTGGGATATACATGACCAAAGAAGAATGTTCTTTCTCCAAGATGATTTTGAGTGGGGGAGTGACATCTGACTTATGTTGGCAAAGCACCACTCCAATTACAGTGTCAGGAATCAGCCGTAGGAGGGTCAGGGTGGAAGCAGGGGACCAGCGGTCTTATAGCAAGACACCGAGGCTAGAGATGACGGCGGCTGGCACCAGGGTGCTAGAGGCAGTGCAGTGAGAAATAGTTGGAGGCAACCTAGAAGCTGCCTGACTCCTGAGGTCCACGCCGCCTGAAATTCACAGACCATCACATTCACCTAGTTCACTTTTCAATTTCAGCTCACAGGCACTTTATCACAAGGTATCCTGAGACCTTCCTCTATCAAGTTGAACGACGTCTGGACAAGAGCAAAACATCTGGCACCCACAAGTTCCCAAGTGGTTTCGATATTTTGAATCCACAATATGCAGCTTGCGAGCTATGCCGATGCGGGGCTGTGGAGTGGTGCAGCTGAGAAGCGCCGTGGCAGGGCTGAGAAGCCTGATTTCTCACCCTGGTCCCATCTGTGACCTGATGCACACCCTGCACAGGCCCTTCTCTGCCCTGGCCCCCCTGCTGTAAAATGAGGGGCCTGGGGGAGGTAGTTTCTGAGGTTCCTTCCCCCTGCGACAGGCTGCGGTTCTTAATTCACTGAGCCCCAGTCTCCTTGGTAAGGATTCCAGGAAGGATTTGGACTGGAACAACTGTTTTGTGTTCTCTTTTCCCATTTATTTAACTTCCTATTTTAAAAATAAGACCCACATCCCTGACAACCTGAGTGTCAGGTTCAAGAGCAACGATGGCGCTCAGACTGGTGTTGCTTTGGAAGCTTTGACTCTGCGTTCTTTCTGAGAATAATCAACCCAATTCTACTTGGAACTTCACGGCAACAAACTCTTTGGGATGCAAAAGCATTTCCTTGCGGTTTCATAGAGTTCGGGCCCTGCAGGACAAGGGCCTTAGGACATGCCTATTTACATCGCTGGTTTGTCCCTGATGTAATTGGAAACAATCTCTAAACGCTTTGGCAAGCATCCTCTCCAGTTTCTGCACAGCACCCCAGCGCCGCATAAATGAATATTGTGCCGCTCAGAGGGGTGCTAACTGCCTCCTCCATGTTTACATGTGCCTGAGTCTGCCGGAATAGACGCATGTGGACTGGTGAGCTGAGGGAGCCAGGGGTCAGTGTTAAGGAAGCCTTCCTACTAGACATTTCTTACGCGGGTTTCTTCCTGGCCATTCAAGAGAGGCAGTTGGTGGTGTGGCTTGCACAAGAAATGCATTGTAAACTCATTCCGCAAATTGTGGAGGCCAAGTGCGCCAGGGAGCAGAGGCCATGGGGAGTGAGGCCTTCTTTAGTTTGAACCAAGGCCTGTGTCTCTTAAACACTCCTGGGGTGAGTTGGCAGTCGCAGTCTAGCCAATGCTGGCTGAAAAGTCAGAGGACCAAGAAAGTGCGGTGATTCAGGCTTCTCCCCCGCTCCCCTGGGTGGGTCGGTGGTCAGACCTCCCCAGAGTGCCCAGGCCACTCCTGCCACTCAGACTCAGAACCCAGCTGCAACAGAAGACCAACCAACACTTAGGCTTTCATTTTCATCTTTAAAATTAAAGAACAATTTTATTGAATAAATTTGACATAACGTTGTGTCAGTTTAAAATGTGTAGCATGTTACTTTGATGCATTTATGTTGTACTATGATTGCCGATGCAGCGATATTTATCACGTCACATAATCATGGTACAATAGTGTTGTCTGTATTCATTGTACTGTGTATTAGATCTCTACGGCTTGTTTACGACTTGTGACAAGTCTGTACTCTTAAACACCATCACACTTATTTGCCCTCCCCATCCCTGGTAACTCCCATTTTACTCTGTTTTTTACAGGTTTAACGTTTTTAGGTTCCACGTATGTGCTGTCATACAGCACTTGTCTTCCATCTACCATTTAATGAGCACATACGTGCCCCTCACCTCACTGATCCACACCTGTGAGGCAGGTGTTATTAGTCCACTTACAGATGAGGACGCTGAGATTTGGAGATCAAGTCATGCAGTTAATGGCAGAGCATGGATGGGCTGACTCGACAGCCTGATTGAGATGCTCAGCTCCTGCGTCACGTAACCAAAGGCAGCTGCTTCCCTCATTCCCTCATGGGTCCACATTGCAGGGGTGGGTGCAGGGACCACAGAGCAGAATAAAGCCATGTGAGAGCCAGTGATTAGGATGGGGTCCAAAGAATGTCAAATCAAGGGGAGTTTCGTGGGTCAGAGCAATTTTGTGTTTTCAAATATGTTGGCCTTGTATAGAGCAAATCTTTTTATTATAATTAAAAAAAAATTCTACGCTATCCTAATTTCCCTGATTTCATTTCTAATTTTTTGTGTCTCTATTTTATTCCTTTTATTCAAGAGTAAATAAGCTGGTGTATTTCATTATCATTTTTCTCCAAAGAAATAATTTTTGGATTTATTTGTTAGTTCAGTCCTCAGTCCATTTTCTAATTTATTGCTTTTTGTTTTGATTTTATTAATTCCTTCTTTCTGTTTTCCTCAGGATTATTTCATTTTATTTTTAATTTATTCAATTTACTGTTTAATTCATTCAATTTCATTCTTCCTTAATAATATAAGTTTTTACAACTGTGAGTCTTTCTATGTGCACTGTTTTGGCTGTATTACATAGGTTCTGATATGTAGAGATTTTATTCTCCTTCACTCATTGAATAACCTGGGTGTTTGAGAGCCTACTTTGTGCCAGCTATTGTGCTAGTGGCTGGAGATATGGCCCCTAGAAAACCTTGCCTTCATGGAGTTAATTCAAGTGGGGAAAAAAAGAGTAAGTGAATAAAATAATGTCAGACGATGATAGGTGCTATGAAAAACATAAAGCAAGGCCAGCCCCAGTGGCTAGTGGTCAAGTTCAGCGTGCTCCGCTTCAGCAGCCGGGGTCCGGTTCCCGGTCGCAGACCTACGCCACTGTCAGTGACCGTGCTGTGTCGGCAGCCCACATACGAAAGAGAGGAAGTTTGGCAACAGAAGTTAGCTCAGGGTGACTCATCCTCAGCAAAAAAAAAAAGAGAAAGTGGAAGAAGGAGAGTGATGGAAGAGGTGGTATGGTAAAAAGAATGTTGAGTAAAGGGCTCTTTGATAAACTGACAGTTAAATAGAGACTTGGAAGAAGTGAGGAATCAGCGTGAGAGGGAGGGATATGCCAGGCAGAGGGAACAGCACATGCAGATGCTATGATGCAGGAATATCCCTGGTGTGTTCTAGGCTCCCCAAGGAGGACAGCGTGACTTGGGCAGAAAACCTTTAGGGGGACGTGGTTGGAGGAGGCTGGAGAGGTGAGCAGGAGCCGGGCCATGTACAGCACTGTAAGCCATGGCAAGGAGTTGGCATTTCAAGACAAGCACGATAGGAAGATAGCGGAGGCCCCTGAGCATGGGAATGATGTGATCTAACTTACGGCTGTTGATTGATTGGTTGATAATCAGCTTTATCGAGGTATAAAACTCACCCATTTAAATGAACACTGTGATGAATTTTGACAAATATACACAGTGGTGTACACACGAGCATCTCAATACCTAGAACGTTTTTCATACCTCAACAAGTGCCCCGTGCCCTTGGCTGTCAATCCCCACTCCACCCCCAGCTCAGGCAACCACTGAGCTGCTTTCACTGACTGTAGATTTACCTTTTCTAGAATTTCACAGAACTTGATCATACAGAATAGTCTTTTGTGTCTGACTTCTTTTACTTGACATAATACTTTTGAGATTCATCCACATCGTTACATTTATCTGTAGTTCATTCTTTTTATTGCTGAGAAACGTTTTATTTTATGGATCCACCACAATTTGTGAGTTCATTTACCAGTTGATGATGATTTCAGGTTTTTGGCTATTATGAATGCGCAAGTCCTTGTGTGGACATCTATTTTCATTTCTCATGGGGAAATACAAGGAGGAGTATTGCCAGGTCATGTAGTAAGTGTATACATACTATTTTTAAGAAACTGCCAAACTGTTTTCCAAAATGACTGCGTCTTTTTGCATTCCCAGCAGCTGTGTGTGAGTTCTGGTTGTTTTACATCCTAGCACTTGGCATGTCTTTCTAATTTTAGCCATGCTGGTGGGCATATGTTGGTTTCTTAAGCTTTTACTTTGCATTTCCCTCGTGACTATGTTGAACATCTTTTCATGTGCTTGTTTGCCATCCATAGATCTTCTCTGGTAAAGTGTCTGTTCAGATATCTTGTCCATTATTCCATTGGTTGGTTCATTCTGATTAAAAGTGCTGTGTTCTTTGTATATTCTGACACAAGTCATTTATCAGATACTATGTGATTTGCAAATGTTTTCTCCTAGTCCGTGAATTGTCTTTTAATTTTCTTTACAGCATCTCTCAAAAAACAAAGTTTTTTAAGTTTTAAATGTAGATAAAACACAATTTATTGGGTTTTTAAAAAATATTTTGTGCTTTTTTTATGTTCTAAGAAATATTTGCCTACCCCAAGATTACAGAAATTTTCTGCTATGTTTTTTTTTATAAGTTTTGCAATTTTAGCTTTGACATTTAGATCTATGACCCAGTTCATGTCAATTTTGGGGTTATCACATGGGATAACAAAAGAACTTCTCCTTTTTTCTCCACATGCCCCTTCCTCTCCTCTTTCCCTCTTTCTCCCTACTACCCACCTCCCCCCCCCCCCCCCACTTCTCCTTCTTCACAGAGGGGCATCTGATCGTTCCACCAGTGAAAAAGACTGATCTCCACTGAAATACTTTCATATCTTTGTCAAAAATAAATTGAGGATATATGTGAACTCTTTCTGGACTCTCTGTTTTATTCCAGTGATTTATATGTCTGTTCTTATGCCATTGTAACAATGTCGTGGTTACTATAATTTTATAATAAACCTTGAAATCAGGGAGTGTAGGCCCTCCAAGTTTTTTCTTCTTTTCAAAATTATTTTGGCTAATTCGAGTACTTTGCATTTTCATTTGAATTTTGGAATCAGCTTGCCTAGATTAATATTTTAAAAAACTGCTCAGATTTTATTGGGACTGCTTTGAATCTATAGATAAATTTGGGGAGAATTTAGATTTTAACACTATTGAGTCTTCTGATCAATGAATATGGTAAAATTTGTCACCCAGTTTGATCTTCTTTATTTCTCTAAGTGATTTTTTTTCTTTTTTTTTGGTGAGGAAGATTGTCCCCGAGCTAACGTCTGTGTCAGTCTTCCTCTATTTTGTTTGTGGGACGTCACCACAGAATGGCTTGATGAGCAGTGTGTAGGTCTGCACCCGGGATCTGAACCTGTGAGCCCCGGGCTGTCGAAGTGGAGCATGCCGGACTCAACCACTACACCACTGGACCAGCCCCTAAGTGATGTTTTATAGTTTTCTCTACACAGATATTAAAAATATTTTGTTAAGTTTACCTTTAATTTTCATGTTTTTGTTGTTATCGTATTATATTGCTTTTAATGTCAATTCCCAGTTATTCATTCATAGTGCATAGAAATAAAATTGATTTTTGTATATTGATCTTGTATCCTGCAACTTTGCAAAACTCACTTGTTACTTTCAGTGGCTTTTTTTTTGTAGATTCTTTGGGATTATCTATATAGATAATCATGTCCTCTTCTTACAAAGGCAGTTTCACTTCTTTCTTTTCAATCTATATGCGTTTTATTTGTTTTCCTTTGCGCTGACTAGGAACTCTAGGAAAATACAGAACAGAAGCAGTAAAAACAGATAGCATTGCCTTATTCCTGATCTTAGGGGGATTGTGTTTAGTTTTTTCCACTGAATGCTATGCTAGCTCTGAGTATTTCATGGAGTCCCACTTTTTTTCCCTAGTTTGCTGAGTATAATGAGCTGAATGTTTATGTCCCCCTAAAATTCATAGGTTGAAATTCTAACCCCTAATGTGATGGTATTAGGAGGTGGGGCCTTTGGAAAATGATTAGGTCATGAGGGCAGATCCCTCGTGAATGGGATTAATGCCCTTATAAATTAGACCCCAGAGAGCTCCCTTTCCCCTTTGCTCATATTAAGACACAGGGTAAAGAAGACCACTGATGAACCAGGAAGCAGGCCCTCACCAGACACCAGATCTGCCAGTGCCCTGATCTGGGACTTCCCAGCCTCCAGAACTATGAGAAACAGGTGTGTGGTGTCTAAGCCACCCTGTCTATGGTATTCTGTTACAGCAGTCTGAACAGACTAAGACGCTGAGGGTATATTTTAAAAAATCATGAATAGGTATTAAATTTAGTCAAAGCTTCCTATGCATCTGTTGATGTTATCATATGGTTTTTCTATTTCGGTGTGTTAATATGATGAATTATGTTGATTAATTTCCAAATGTTAAACCAATCTTACATTTTTGGAAATATCGCACTTGGACATAATGGATTATCCTTTTGATATGTGGCTGTATTTGATTTACTAACTTTTTAAAATTAAGGCTTTATTTTTTAAGGAATTTAAGCTTCGCACCAAAATTGAGGGGAAGATACAGAGATTTCCCATATACTCTCTGCTCCAAACATGCATAGCCTCCCCCACTACCAACATCATTCACCAGAGTGGCACTTTTGTTACAGCTGATGAATCTACAATGACACGTTATAATCACCAAA